AATTTTCCCTAGTAAATCCATGTCTAGTAATTGTCTTTAAAGTGCTGTTTAGTACACTGAATTTCTCTTGTTATTTCTATTGGGTTAACAGGTAGTCAGACATGTTTTCATTTGTTGCCATATTAAAGATCCATTACAAATTAATAATGAAAGTAGCATCAAATTTCCCCCCAATATTTTCTCAATCTTCCACTGATTTAACACTATTCTGCACATAACACCAATTCCATTAAAAAACTCTTCCACTCCAAAGTAAACAATATTCTATTAATAGCAAGGATGTTAGGGCTGTGGCTTGTGGCCTTAGGCTTCCATTATATTATTCAATCTCTCTGTGCCTCATCCTGTATTAGTGAGGGGACATTGGGCAAGATATTGTAACCCTTTCTTTGCTGCCTTTGACAATGAGGAAGAGGGTTGTTCATAGAGATGCAAGATAAAGATGATGTAAGATGAAGAGACGAAGTGATGGAAAAAGTACTAAACCCTTGAACTGAATTACACGATGACACATATTCCAGTTCCGCCAGAGGGGCTGAGTCTGTTTCTCAAGCGCTTCATTCGGATTTAACGATCTTCTCCTCAATCACTTTAACTCATCACTTTTGCCTAGAGATTCCCAACCGCCCGCACGTTAGAATCACCTGTGGTGCTTTTTAAAATCCCTGATACATTAGTCACTTGTAAAGTTCCTCATGTGATTCCACTGCGCAGCCAGGGTTAAGAACCAGTGCCATGCCCAGTCATGTGCAGATTAAAATTCTTGTTCTTAACTCCTTTTCTTCCTTTTGAGGAACATCATGATTTTTGGAGAAATGCTTTGGGTTCAGCAATCAATTTAAAAAGGATGCTTGTGGACATGCCAGTGATTCTTCTATCCCAAGGGCACTCATACCCTGAGATGGTAAAACCTCATCTGGGGAAAAGACAATAGGAAAACTAACTTATATCCAGTGAAAGGATGTAAGTGGCTCTCCTTGTGCAGTCAGCTAACCGGCTGCCTGGATCTTTCTCTCCTTTTTGTAGCCTGGTAGATAACAGCTGGCAGACATGGGGTCTGTGTGTGCCAGTTGCTGTCCCCCCCCTCTAGGCCTGCGGGGTGGCGCCCTGGGCTGCCCTTCAGCAGCAAGTCCAACTGCCTTCAGAGAGGAATTAATGGAGAGTCCTCAGGTCCTGGAACTCAAGTCCATCTGTCTTGTGTTCTGGGATTCCATGGGCCCCTCTGGTTTGTGAAAATACCTGGTCCAGGTCACCCCTGGTGAGAAGCAGGGAAGCTGAGGGAAGGCAGATGGTCTGGTGCCTCTCCTACTTTTTGGAGCAAGATATTCCAGTGTGAGAAGAAGTTTATTAGGGAATCTCTCATACAGCTCAGAAAGTGAAACGCTGTATAGAAGATCAGTTTTGTACTAGCTCCTTGCCCCCCGCTTTTTTTTTTGTTTTTTTTTACAATGCCTTTTTCTTCTTTTTCTCTCTCTTCTTCAAGTTCATTGCTTCTTTCCTGGTGGAAAATACTACTCTTAAAAAAAAAAAAAAAAAAAAAGCAAAAGAAAGACAGAAAAGAAAAAAAAATCAATGAAAGACCCAATACTAAAAATCATCACTGTCAATAGTTTTTCTTCCAGTCTTTTAATATGCATATTGTTTGTTTTTTATCATACTGAACATCCAACTTTTTCCTATATTTTCTTGTAATACCACGAAATAAACATTCGCCCATATTATTGATAACTTTTCAGAAACATTTTCTTCAATAAATAATATCCCATGAAATGAATGTAACACACTTACTGTTTCCCTTTTAGAGTTAGCATGTTTCCAAATTTTTATGTTTATAAGTAATACAGTAAATAAAACATTTAAAAATATAGGTAATAAAAAGTGTAAATGGAATAATAGCCTTAATATACAGAGATAGAGATCTTACATAATCAATATATGAAACACCAATTTTGAGAAAAGGACATGAATGAGCAATTATACAAAAAATAAATATTGAGTGACCACTAGATATATGATACATGTTTATATCTATTAATGAACAAAAAGTGACAAATAAGATGGCAACAAGAGGCTTTTTAAAAACTATTAAATTAGCAAATATTTTCAATAATGATATTGGTAGGGTAGAGGTTGTCAGACACCCTTAACAAGAAAATAAATTGATAAAACATTTTCTGAACAACACTTTGAAAATATATCACCTTTTGGCAGGAACCGCCATCTTCCACTAATTTGCCAAGATGACGAACACAAAGGGAAAGAGGAGGGGCAACCAATGTATGTTCTCTAGGCCTTTTAGAAAACATGGAGTTGTTCCTTTGGCCACGTATATGCGAATCTATAAGAAAGATGACACTGTAGGCATCAAGGGAATGGGTACTATTCAAAAAGGAATGCCCCCAAATGTTACCGTGGCTAAACTGGAAGAGCTACAATGTTCCCCAGCATGCTGTTGACTTTGTTGTAAACAAACAAGTTAAGGGCAAGATTCTTGCCAAGAGAATTAATGTGCGTATTGAGCACATTAAACTCTCTAAGAGCAGAGCTAGCTTCCTGAAACGCGGGAAGGAAAATGTTCAGAAAAAGAAAGAAGCCAAAGAGAATGGTGCCTGGGTTCAACTGAAGCGCCAGCCTGCTCCACCCAAAGAAGCACACTTTATGAGAGTCTGGGGGAAGGAGCCTGAGCTGCTGGAGCCTCTTCCCTATGAATTCATGGCATCATAGGTGTTAACAAAATAAAAGACCTCTGGGCTGTAAAAAAAAAAAAAAAAAAAAAAAAGGAAAAGAAAAATAGAAAATATGTCAAATATGCTCTTGCACACATGTTTATAGCAGCACAATTCACAACTGCAAAAATATGGAACCAGTCCAAATGCCCATCAGTCAATGAGTGGATAAAGAAAATGTGGTATACGTATATCTTGGAATACTACTCAGCCATAAAAAGGAACAAAAGAATGGCATTTGCAGCAACCTGGATGGAATTAGAGACCATTATTCTAAGTGAAGGAACTCAGGAATGGAAAGCCAAACATAGTATGTGGGAGCTGAGCTATGAGGACGCAAAGGCATAAGACTGCTAAGATAGACTTTGGGGACTCAGTGGGAAGGGTGGGGGTGGTGAGGGATAAAAGACTACACATTGGGTACTGTGTACACTGCTTGGGTAATGGGTGCACCAAAATCTCAGAAATCACCACTAAAGAGCTTATTCATGTAACCAAACACCGCCTGTTCCCCCAAAACCCACTGAAATAAATAAATTTAAAAAAAAAAACAAAAAAAGAGATAAAAAAGAATAACAGCAAAGTAATGTCAAAAAATATGTTAAGTATCCTTAAAAATTGTATACTTTTTAAGAAAGGCATTTGTCCTCAAAAACAAAGTTCTGTTTTCAGAAATGAAAAGTTGATACAAAGATTTATGTATAAAGCTGTTTAATGCATTGAATATAGTAATTAAAAGTAGAGGCTAATCAACTCATCTTATACCTCTATAACATCTATATCAAGTGGAACACAAGTAATTGTAGAAGAGGACGGAAAATTCTCAAAATATTTTTTTGAATAAATGTAGCATGAGATGGAATTGTGTAATCGGATTTGACAAATGCTTATCAAAATGACTAAAAGGAACTAACTACTAGTTATCTCTGGTTATTATGAACGAATTTAAATTTTGTTATGTTTACATGTCTTTTTAAAGTTCTCTACAATGAAAATATTATACAATGAGAGAGGGAATATAAGTGGGTAGTTGAGAATTAGCTCCTGATGCCAATTCTGGCCCCATCACTTACTATTTAACCTGAAGCAAGTTATTGAGCCTCTCCGTGCCTTGGTTTCCTCATCTGTAAAATTGGATAACAATAGTACAAACCTCAATAGGGTTTTTATGATAGTAAATGATTCAATCACATAAATCTTTAGGACAGTTTCAGGGACAGTGTAAGTGCTCAAAAGTGTTAACTGTTCTTAATTTTTTAGAAATCACAAAAAAATTTTAAATTATGCAATCTGTCTCTTCCTCAAAGAACACTTTAGTAAACATGCGTGCATAGAACTCCCCCTTCCCAATTTTAAGTTTTTTTCCTTGGGATAAATTCTCAGAAATAAAATTCCTAAATCCTTGATGATTTTTGCTGAAATTCTTTCCAAAGCTGCTATAAGACATTTTCATGCCAAAAATATGTGACATCACCTGTTTTAGAAAACTCTTACTAAGTTATTATTTAAAAAATGAGTATGTGATGAAGGAAAATGGCTAATATTTTTAATTTAAATTTCTTCGATAATTTTTGAGATTAATAATTGTTATGCTTACTATTGCTAAACTTTCTTTTTTGTAAAATCGTTCCTATCCTTAACTTACTTACTTATTGATATATTAGTGTTTTTCTTATTGACATGTATCAACTCCTCACATGGTAGAAATATTAAGCAACTTTCTGACATAGCAGCTCTGAAGATTTTTTTCATTTGTGGAATTATTACTATTTTTTGGTTTGATATAAAGAAATTTAAATATCTTATTGTCAAATCTATCCCAATTTTGCTTGGCAAATGTTCGGATTGATTTTAAATTTAACAACTTCAGCTGAGAAGATTTTTGACATAATTCTATGTTATTATATTAGCCCTTAAAAGCTTTTCAGCGATCGCTATAGGGAATGATATTTTTTAATTTTGGAAGAGAACTTTTGCTCACTAAGGTGACTGGCCAGGAAGCATGAGTGAGCTTGGTTCATTAATCAGTCTGAAAGATTTCTAAAAATTCTGCGTCATCAGGCAGAATCTCCAAGGTGGTAGCTTACACCCTTATCCCCTTCAAAGTACAAAAACGTAGGTTCCTCTCACTAATCACTAGGTAAATGTCCCCAGGGTAGGCAAACTATGACTGAGGCCACATTGACCTCTACCTTGTCAGATTAGGCTAGAAACCACGTGGCATACCTCCCTTATAGTGGTTTGATCAAATGGTCAAGTCCCACAGCACGAAACTGTGGCATGTGATGTTTACATGATCCTAGGAAGAAAATGGACCAGCCGACCGTTTCAGGCGGAAACCTGTTGACAAGAGCTTAAGTAAGTCTCCGTGTACATCAAGTACTTTGGAGACGCCAAAGGTGTAACTTTCAAGGGCAAAGACCTCAGGACAAAGCAACTTGAAGAAGCCAGGAACTAAAGACGGGACATTTGGTTCAAAACTTGAAGTGGCTCCCCGCCCCGCCCCAAGAGTGCATGACAGGTCAGTTTGTGTTTTGATTCCTCAGTTTCTCCATGCTTCTTCCTCTTGTTGCCATGTCCTTCCAGAAATATCCTGAATTCTCAAAGCTAAGTGATAGTGAGTGTATGTTAGAAAGCCGTCCTTGCATAAATAATAGGTTATTTATAACAGCAAAAGGTCACTTAGTTCATCAGTATCTAAAGAAGTGGCCACTCGTCTGGACATTTTATTATAAATGAAGGCACTTCCCTTGAATGTTGACCCTCTGCCTTGCTTTGTAGTGGGCTACCTCATCTATGTTACCTCTTGTCTTTCTTTTCTTTTTTTTTTTTTTTTTGAGACAGAGTCTCGCTCTGTCGCTCAGGCTGGAGTGCAGTGGCGCGATCTCCACCCACTGCAAGCTCCGCCTCCCGGGTTCAGGCCATTCTCCTGCCTCAGCCTCCCGAGTAGCTGGGACTACAGGTGCCCGCTACCACGCTCGGCTCATTTTTTGTATTTTTTAGTAGAGACGGGGTTTCACCTTGTTAGCCAGGATGGTCTCAATCTCCTGACCTCGTGATCCGCCCGCCTTGGCCTCCCAAAGTGCTGGGATTACCGGCGTGAGCCACCGTGCTCAGCTGTCACCTCTTTTCTAACTATTGTTCACTAAACTGTACGAGCAAACTTAATCTCTTCTTAGGCATATTATATGATAATGACAATACATTACACAAAAATGGTCTAAAATATTTTTCTTTTTGTCTTCAAATATTCTCCCCTGATACACTCATGAATCTCTTTGACAGCACTATTGTGGGATAACATTGACACTCAGGCCATCAGAAATGAATGGAAGCTGACAACATGCTTTAACCTAAATTGTAAAGACTGTTGTCTGGCTATTCAAGTCAAAAACAGAGTTTACATAACCACCTAGCATGGTTTCTGGTTATGTAAAATGTGACTGAGTATCTGAATCCTGGATCAAAAGCTTCCTCCACATGAATGGTTCAGTTAGGAGGGGGAAGAAAACCCAAGATTGAACTTTGCCAGTGAAAGCATGGATCATTTCACATTTTGCTTTGTGAAAGAGCAGAAAGTAAAGACAAATGAGGAATATGCACGGGGCACATCAGAACACCAGGTCAGTGGAAAAAATAAGCCTGGAAAATGTGGGGGAGAGAAGCGAATGACTCAAAGGAAAGTCACGAGGACCTGGCAAGCTTTCAAGAGAAGTTGAATAACAGGGGAAGAGAGATGCTTGACTTGGGGATGAACAACTCAAAAAAGCTGTACGTTTAGTTCCTCATGGGTTTCTTGAGCATTTTCTAGGAGCTACGCACCTTGTAGGCCCAAAGTACTGGGCACGGGGGACATACAAAGAAATATGTGTTTTCATCCTTGACTTCGCAGAGCTACTGCAGGTTTGAGCACAAAGCCTTCATGGGGGATAAATAAACATAAGCAGGGCGGGGGTTCTGATTGAAAACTATAAATGCTCAACATGCAGGACAGTGAATACCTACACTATGGGCTATCAGGGATAGGAGAGATAGACATTCACCTGGAATCTGAGATGGGCATTGAAATAATGGGGGCAATTTGCACAGATAAAAGACACAATGTCCCAGGAGGGAGTGAGCCCAGGCATAGGTTTAAAGATGGGGACAAGCTTAGCAAGTGTGGGTGCACGGCCAGGAGACCTGCCTGGCAGGGATGAAGGGTGTGCATTGTGACCAGACTGAAGATCATGTGGGGTGATAGAATGAAGAGTATGGCCGTGAAACAATGGGTAGCAGAAACCAAAGTCACAGTTGTAGTGACACTAGATGCACCCTAAGGGTACAATGTCAAATGATGAAAATTGAGCTGAAAAGTGGCATAAAAACAGGTCCTTGTAGTTTTAAGAATCAGTGGGCACCAATCATTAAAAAGTCAGGAAACAACAGGTGCTGGAGAGGATGTGGAGAAATAGGAACACTTTTACACTGTTGGTGGGACTGTAAACTGGTTCAACCATTGTGGAAAACAGTATGGCGATTCCTCAAGGATCTAGAACTAGAAATACCATATGACCCAGCCATTCCATTACTGGGTATATACCCAAAGGTTTATAAATCATGCTGCTATAAAGACACATGCACACGTATGTTTATTGCGGCACTATTCACAATAGCAAAGACTTGGAATCAACCCAAATGTCCATTAGTGACAGACTGGATTAAGAAAACATGGCACATATACACCATGGAATACTATGCAGCTATAAAAAGGATGAGTTCGTGTCCTCTGTAGGGACATGGATGCAGCTGGAAACCATCATTCTGAGCAAACTATCGCAAGAACAGAAAACCAAACACCACATGTTCTCACTCATAGATGGGAATTGAACAATCAGATCACTTGGACATGGGAAGGGGAACATCACACACCGGAGCCTATTATGGGGAGGGGGGAGGGGGGAGGGATGGCATTGGGAGTTATACCTCATGTAAATGATGAGTTGATGGGTGCTGACGAGTTGATGGGTGCAGCACACCAACATGGCACATGTATACATATGTAACAAACCTGCACGTTGTGCACATGTACCCTAGAACTTAAAGTATAATAGTAATAATAAAAAAAAGAATCAGTGGGCACTGAATGCATCATGTGATCAACAGCAAATCATTAACTTATTTGGGCCTCAATGTTCTCACCTGTAAAATGGGGCTAGTAACTTCTATCATACGGTTGTTCAATTAATAAAACTGGGTTAATATATAAATATGCTTATAAAATGTAATGCAAATTTAAATTATTAGGGCAGGGCTGTGGTGAAATGTAAAAGTATGGGCTTTGAAGTCAGATAACCCTAGGTAAAAATTCTTGCTCCTCCACTTACTTTTTGTCCTTGGGCAAATTATTTAACCCCCTGAAACCTCAGATTTATCCATTTAAAATTGAGGGTAATACTATAATATCTATTCACAGAATGGTGGGTGATTAGAGGAAACATTTAGAAAGTGTCTAGCATAAAATGACTCCTTAGCAGAGGTAACTCTTGTTATAATTTAGCCCTTGCTAGAGGGAACCTGCCTACTTATTAAGAAAGATTAGTCCCCTGGCTTTGCATGAATGGAGGGAAATTGAAGAGAGGTTGGATAAATTGTTTCAGATGGTGGAGTTTCAGTGGGGAGTGAGTCAGGTTAGTACGTGTCCCTAAAACAACTGGGTGAAGAGAGCTGAGGCCAGCTGGGGAGGTCAGAGCACAGATGACTCTACGGTCTTTATGTTGAAAGAGGGTGGGCTGGCAATTTAATTAGAAAAGGGAGTAAGAATTTGAGGACTTGTCTTGAAGTAGCTTTCATGTAGAAATCATGTTGACTTGACTTGGATGTATATTTATTTGAGGGGCAGCTTGGAAGGCGACAAAGATGAAAATTCTAAATTCTCCAAGAGATACCCTCGGTCCTGACACCTTTCCAGAGTGGAAATGGACACATAATACATTTCAGTTATTGGGAATATGCTGTTTACCAGTATCAAAGTACAGTTAACCCTTGAAAAACACGAGTGTGAACTTGCGAGGGTCCACTGATGCATGGGTTTTCTTCTGCCTCTGCCACTCCCGAGACAGCAAGACCAACCCCTCCTCTGCCTCCTCCTCCTCAGCCTACTCAATGTGAAGATGACGAGGAAGGTGATCTACTTCCGCTTCATGAATAGTAAACACATTTTCTCTGATGATTTTTAAATCATTTTTTCCTTGAGTTTACTTTACTGTAAGAATACAGCATATAATACATATAATATATATAATATGGTTTAATCACCTATTTATGTTATTGGTAAGGCTTTTAGTCAGCTGTCATCTATTAGTTGTTAGGTTTTGGGGGAGTTATGTGTGGATTTTCAACTCTGTCGGGGGATTGGTCCTCCTAGTCTCCCCATTGTTCAAGGGTCAACTGTAATATGTGTATATGCTAAAAAATCATGGTATCAGTGGTGACAATGTAAATGGTATCTAAGAGCTTGAGACTCCTAAGATCTCAATTCAGTAGCCTTCTGCTCCTTTGCTTCCTTTCTTTTTTTTTTTTTTTGGAGACAGGGTCTTGCTCTGTCATCCAGGCTGGAGTGTAGTGGAGGTGCAGTCTTTAACTCCTGGGCTCAAGTGATCCTCCTGCTTCAATTTCTCAAGTATCTGGGACCACAGATGTGCCTCATCATGCTCAGCTAATTTTTAAATTTTTTATAGAGACAGAGTCTCACTACGTTGCCCAGGCTGGTCTCAAACTCCTAGCCTCAAGTGATCCGCCTGCCTTGGCCTTCCAAAGTGTTGTGACTACAGGCGTGAGTCACAGTGCTCAGCCTGCTCTGTTCGTTTATTCCTTCTTCCCTTAAGGTGATCAATTAAAATATTACTGGTTTCTGTTCCTTCCGCTGGTAGTTTTTTCAGACTCCTGCTAGTTAAATGTTAGATCTCCTGAATGACTTTTCTAGTCTCCTATCTTATTTATCTTACCGTGTATATTCTGGGAGAGTTCCTCAACTTTATTTTAGAAACCTGACTGTTCTTTTTAATCTAAGCAATTATACTTTTAATTCCTCAAAATTTATTTCTTGTTCTCTGATTGTTCCTTTTTCATAGCTTCTTATCATTATTTTCCAGATGTAATAGTATCTTTGATCTCTCTTTATAAGAAATGGATTCTTTAAAAGTGTCTCTTCTGCTTTCACAATTTTCTGTTTCCTCTGGGTTAGTTATTTTGCTGAGTTATCTTGATCTTTTGTTGTTGTTGTTGCTGTGTTCTTTTTCTAGAGCTGGTGGTCTTTGGTTGTATGTCTAAGAAGAAAGCTTGGGGTGGTTGGTTTGGGTTTCATCCATCGTGTGGATGTGCAATGACTTCTCATTGGGAAGCTGGCATACTTCTTTTATGGGAAGGTCTTATTCAGGTATTGTATTCGTCTGTTCTCATACTACTACGAAGAAATACCTGAGACTGGGTAATGTATAAAGAAAAAGAGGTTTAATGGACTCACAGTTCACATGGCTGAGG